AGTAGTAGTAGTAGTAGTAGGCGGAGGACGAGGAAGCAGAAAACAAGGAGGGGCAGGAGGAAGACTGGAACCGGTACCAGTACGTGTTGAAGTAGACGCAGAACAAGCACTGTCGTCGTGGTCGTATGTATCATAACAGCCAATACCATTACCTTTCTCATTGTCACGAAGCCTAGAACTATTACTGTTGGCAGCTATCCAAATCAGTAGCGTTAGGAAGGTGGGAATCGATCTTTCTGGTATTTATTGGTGATCATCACGTTGTCCACACCCTGCCCATATGATTTGCCATATTACCCGAAACACTTAACCCAAACCTTGTATCATATTGACCTTTCTTCCTGCGTACTCTAAATCGCGTGTGAGGGCCTTCTGTGTCCAGTGCGATGGAGCCATCGACGGGACGGGGCTGCGCCGCACTGTGGCTGTCTCGATCGTTGGGGACCTGGATTTGGAGTTAAGGCTTTAGGGTCAGGATTTAGGGTTAGGGGTTTAGGGTTTAGGGCTCTAGGGTGTGGTTGAAGCACCACATCAAGATGTCCAGAGTTTAAACATTCTGCTCAATGGCTCTTGTGATGAACTTCGCAACACACAATCCCCAAGACATATAGGGGCCTCAATTATTTAAATCGGGTTTTGAAGTATATTATACTATAACTATAATAGGCAACTCTGAGGAGCAATGCGGTGATTATTGAGGCCTCCATAGTAAAAGCCACAAACCACGTCAACCCCGCTTGGTTACTTTGAGATCGTGGAAAACTTTTTAAAATAAATACTTAGGTAGGAAACTGCCCACAGATTTTAAGAGCCCTTAACCGTAAGCCGCAGCCCTCAACCCTGAACCCTTAACCCTCTTACTAAACCCCAAACCCTCGACCCTAAACCCTAAACTCAACCCTCAACCCCAAATGCTAAACCCTAAACCGCAAACCCAAACCCTCATCCCTAGAACCGAAATGAGCCGAAAGCACTTCATTAGCTGTGTTTTCGCCGTGACGCGGGGCAGCATAGTGCGACGGCGAGTGACGAGGATGCAGGGAGACGCGCTTCTCCAGCTTCGCCTCCGGAAGCCGAGGGCTTAGGGCGATGAGGTTAGAGCTTATAGGGTTTAGGGTTAAGGTTTAGGGTTAAGGGTTAAGGGCTATTACAGTTTATGGTTCAGGGTTTAGGCTAAAAGCCTGATACTAAAAATAATACTTACGGCGACAGTTTGAATGTGGCAGTTTCAGACGAATGAATGACCCCGAACTCGGAACCCTCGATGGCAGGATCCTCAATATAAGCCGAAGCCCTAAATCCCCCACTTCGGGTTCGGTACGAATACGATTCTGAAACTACGATTCCGTTGCAGCATGGACTGCAGCCACTTCTATCGCTGCCATCCTCCAAGCCCTCTCCGGTCCGGACCATGGTTCTGGATTCCTTTTGCGGTTTTGGGGTTGAGAGTTCATGGTTCAGGACTCCTGTTAGGGTTTAGGGCTTGGGGCCTGTAAGGGGGATTAGGGTCCCGTTTAGGGTTTGGGGTAAAGTTCATGGTGGACAGGACGGGGTGATGGTCTGACTTTTCGGTAGTACATGGGAATACTATACTATCCCCTATTCCTGTTGGCTACGGTCCCGAAATGAAAGGCTTAGGGCTTAGGGCTCACGGGGGTTGGAAGTCTGGAAGCTTGCGCGAGGAATTTCGACTCTTGTAGCAGGCCAAGCAAAACAGAAATTTCCCAAAACTAAATGCCACGAATGTTCCTGCCGACGCGGTGGAACGGACCTGAAATCCCAATCATCTCTAAGTTAATCGGGTATTGGCTTGGGGCCCTTACCATATGCCGTCTTCCTGTCAAAGGTTATACAAGTATGCTGAGCTTTGCAGTGCAAGGTTCGAAGCCCTGAAGCCGAAACTGCGATCCCTAAAACCATAACTCGAAACCGGAAGTCCTTAACCAAAAGTTGCGATGTAACGTAAGCCACAAGGAGCGATGTTTGGGTCAGCAGGGCACGTCAATGGAAATGGGAACAGCCCGAACCTTCATCTGGAAAGATTCTTACACCTCTAGGGCACCTTTTTCTTCTCCTTCTTCTCCTTCCTCTTCCGCCGGCGTTCTGCCTCTGCGCTGTCTGCAGAGCAGGAACTGGCCCAGTCGATATTGTGGCGCCTGAGCTGACAGTGTTATGTTCCGGCAACGACACAGGCTCCAGAAAAAAACCCTAACCCTAAAGGCCCAAACCTCTGGTTAAACTAGATGCATAAGTCCCCTAAAACCTAAACCCATAGCCGTACGTCGCTACACCGTGAACTCAAAGTCTCCAAACCGCCCAAGCCCTAATCCCAAAGTCCCTAAACCCCAACATCCCTCCATCCCATAACATCCTCCATCTCTACATCCGTAAATATTAAATCCCTGAACTTCAAAGAGAGCACCTGGTGCTATTGGGTGTCAGGATTAGGGGACCCTTGGGGTGATATAGACCCTCTCAATAAGGTCCCGTTTAAGGGAGCCAGAAGTATGGTTAAGAAGGGTCCCCTATAAGGGGTCTCCCTGGTCCACCTAGGATTTATGGCTAGGATCTAAGAAAGCGGTAGGGTATGGCCCTCCAGCCGAGATCCCCAAACCCTGTAAACCTTAAAACCCTAAAGCTCTAAAACCTCCAACCTAAACCTTTAACCCTAAGCCCCTAAACCCCTACAACCCCTACAACCCCAAACTCCTGAACCCTAAACATCGAGCGATCAGCGCTGTGCCCTGTGCCCTGCTTTGTGCCAAACTCCAAAGTCCGCACTCCAAAACCTGCCAAAAACGGCAAACGGTCGCTGGGGCCCCGCTCCCCTTCCCTGCTACGGCCCCGAAATCCTAGCTGGCCGAACTCTTGTTGCAGTATTGGCCGCTCAGCTTGGGGCTCTGCCGCAACCCCTGGTATGGGACACTGGGGCCGGGGCTGCCGATCTCCGCAAACCCCCAGCACGGGACGTGGGGGGCCGTTCCGACTCCCCTTCCCTGGTACGGCTCCGAAATCCTAGTTGGCCTGGCCAGGCTTCGCCACAAACGGAAAACTTCAGCATCAACATTGCGAAGATCGGGCGCCGAAAACACACTCCTTCAGTCGTGCATGTATTCTCGCCTTACTTGTGCCCAGAAACATGAGAGCCGCTGCCCTGAGAGCTGTAAGTGGGTGGCCTTGGGGTGGGTAAGCCTGCAGGCCGACGCGCGCCCACAGAAGCGCGCTTTCGTTTGGCACACCCTAACTAAACCCTAAACCCCTGAAGCCTAAACCCTAAACCCTCCCCAAACCGAAGACCAAGTCGCCTTCGCCTCTTGCGCTTTACTTGGACGCCGGGCTCGGAGATCGGTGATACACTCCTGAGCTCAGGCTTTGATTTAAGGATTTAGGGATTCAGGGGTTAGGGTTTAGGGTTTAGGGTTGAGGGCCCTGTGGGTTTAGGGTTTAGGAATTTAGAGTTTAGTGTGAGGGTTAATCGATTTAGGGTTTAGGGTTTAGGGTTGGGATTAGGATAAAGACCGGATCCTCAACCTCAACGCTACAAGCCCAAAACCTAAAACCGCTACAGTACCTTTCAAAAGGCTGAAGGGCTCAAGGCTCTGAGTTTGTGCGGCTCTGGGAGTAGGGAAGTCACTTAAGTCGTTGTCCTGAGATGGGCTTTTTTGCATTCGTTCAGCTATCGGCATGTTTGCGTTCTCATGTCTGACGCATTTCTTGGATATCCATATATACCTACTTGCCTGCCAGCCTACCTGACTAGCTATTGTTTTAATTCGTTATATCAGATATATCTATCTACCTATCTATCTGTCTGTCTGTCCGTCTCTATCTATCCAATTCCTAATGATTGTGATATTCGCACATACACAGAATTTTGCAGCTTGTATTTCGACACAGCCAGCCGGTCTTCGGCTTCGGCGCTGGATGACAGGAGATTTTCCAGCCGGAGCATGCCACTCCCGTGGTGGGTTTAGGGTTTGGGGTGTAGGGTTTAGAGCTTTTGGCTTAAAGGCTCAATGCCGCCTGCACAAGTGGTATTTTATCCGTGAGTCCTTCAGAACAGAGTTGGGGGCTTGTGATGTCTGCAGGGTCGTTCACCGAACGCTTGCGTTAAATCACCAACTCGACGTTCAGTATCCGCCGGCCTTTGGGATTACATAAAGACTGTAGCATTACATGGACTGTAGTACCCCAGACAAAGCGGTTAAAGGTTACCTACTCTACTACTAAGTCTGTTAATTTCAAGACCAAGAGCATCGAAACTTGTTTCCACGCCGCTCATGATCCGGGATTGTGGGATAAAGCCTTCAAGTCAGCATGACTGCTAAAGCCTCTCAAGAGCCTCAGCAAGAACTGCGCCTTGAAGGAACCCTTGAAGGAAGCCTAAACCCCAAACTCTGAACCATCGCTCCGCAACTTCCCAAGCTCGACCTTTCTCTTTGGGCTTTGCGTTTTGGGTTTGGGGTTTAGGGTTTAGGGTTTAGAGTTGAAGGTTTGGGATTTAGGGTTTCCGAAGCTCGACTCTCTTTTCAGCAAGATGCCTCATGATCTCTCGCATCTGGCTGGCCCCCACAAGCATCTCGCGTGTGGTCATCGTTGTGCGGTAACTCCTGGGACCGGATGGTGCTGTACACGGGCTTTGGATTTCTGGTTTTAAAGCTTCGTATCTCGAAGAGCTCTGGCCCTAAACCCTGTACCCTATACCATAAAACCCTAAGGACCTAAAAATCAAACACTAAGCGGCTAGGTTTGAACTGAGGAGATTCAAAGTGGTCAAAGGTGTAGAGACCCTGGACCCAAAAGCCTAAACCATCTGACCACTGTCGGCTCTTTCTTGAAGCCCAGGGATCCGACAAACCCCAAAACCCTTAAAGATCTCAGTCTTGTTTAAGGACTTGGGGTTTATGGTTGAAAGATGGCCTGCACTGCAAGGAGTTATTGTTTATCATGAAAACTGTGCTTGTTATTCTTGCTAAGTAGTTATGTAAGCAGTATGCAATTTCGGAAATTGCAAGCAACTCCTGCTGTGCCCGCTCCTGTCAGAGCCGCCAGCCACACTGGCCGCAATGCTCTTGCCCGCAACACTTTTTCCACGCAGGCCATAGCCAGCAATGCTGACACCTGCTTTTGATGCTTCAATGATTCGTCTTGGCTTTGGAGCTCGGAAGCTGGTCCAGAACGGCTGCTTGCTAATTATGTGGCTTCAAGACCAGACACAACCGTAAAGACTTCGAAACTCCAAAAGCCGGAACCTGCCCCAGCCTGTCTACACCACGAAGCTCGAAGCTCGTCCCCTGAACCATGGTCCCTGACTATCCAGACCAGACCTGGACCCCGAACAACTTAGCGTTTAGGGTTTAGGGTTTAGTGGGCCTGTGCTTCTGATGATAGAACTATCGTCAGGAAGCCTAAAACACAGCGTTGGACGATTCAAGCGCCCGAACCTGCAATACTTCGACCAGCAACGCTCCGGCCCGCCATGCCTCCGTTGCACTCGGCTTCATGATTTTCGGTTCAGGGCTTCAAGACCGAGGGTTTAGGGTTTAGGGTTCAGCCTTCAGGGTTATGGGGTGGGGCTTAGGAGTACTACGGTTTGCTTCAGAGTGAGAACGAGCACGAGGGAGACAGAGAGAGAAAGGAAACGGTTAGTAGGCAAAAAGGCCGCAATGATGAACATCGACAATGTTACATGCATCTACCCCTTAACCATAAACCCGCTTCTGCAGCGCAGATTCTTCGACCCGCAATGCTTCGTCCTGCAATGCTGCGACCAGCGATGCTGCGCCCAGCCACACTCATCTTGTCGGCCTTAGCCCAGCAAAACCTCACAAACTCCAAACTCCATAAGGGTCTGGGGTTTTAGGGTTAGGGTTAGGGGTTTGGGGTTTAGGACTCTGAAGCCTTTCACCCCAGACCCTGAACCCGGAGCCGCAAAACGCTCCCAAGCTCTTGGCAGATGTCTACGTTCCAGCCTCACTGCGTTGACATCCTCCGATGGACTCAGCGAAACTCAGAACGCCCTGGTTTGCGGTCTGTAGGGTTTCGAGTGTTGTGCACTTGTTGGCTGTAGGCTCTTATGGTCTATAAGGGCACTGCGGAACACCTTGCAGCCCAAGATCCAGAGTCAGATGCAAATCCTGGCTTAGGGCGTAAGGCTTTTATGAAACAACGATTACTGTTCGAATGTGGGGCAAAGTGCCCTCTAACTGCCCATCGTCGACAGGACTACATCGTTGCTGGTTGAAGCTCCCCGGCCCCTTCGCGGTTGAGGAGTTTTCCCAGATGCTTCGGCTCCACGGACCATAACCGAAAGGGCTCGCCCTAGAGCCCAAAACCTCAACTAAGCTGAAAGCCAGAGACCCGAAAGTCCTCGGCCCTCGGCTACCCTTACAGTACGCCCCTGGCCTCAAACCCAAAAAGCGACGCGTCTTTCTTCGGACCAGGGCCTCGTCCTCGGAGCCCGATGGGGAACATCGTGAGCCGACGGAACTGACGCGATCCTGGCGGGTTAAGGGTTTAGGGATTCGGGTCAAGGGTTGAAGGTTCAGGGTTCGGGGTTATGAGTTATAGAGCTTATGGGTCTGGGGGCTATAGACCTCAGGATTTACATAGGTTTCCGCACATTACTCATGTAGGGTTTAAGGCAGGGTCAAGGGTTTGGAGGTGGAAGATTTGAAGGTGTAGGCGTCTTCTCCAAGGCTCTTGAGAAAGATTCAAGATGCTCTGTGCAAACCTACGACGAGAATCCTATGAACTCGGAGCTCGTAACACAGGAGTCACAGGAGCCTGCTGCTTGTACAAGGACTGTAAGGGGCTAGCAGTATTTCCTCTAGGGTGCATCGTTATGGTCTAGTCTGGGGTAGGCCCTCTTTTGCGCCCCTGAACCCCAAAACTAACTTTGAGCCCCATAAACCTTAGAAAACCTGATGCCCAGCCCCTCCTGATCTGCAAGGGCTTGACCCTCCTCAGCTGGCGTGACCTCCGTGGCTTCCACCTCCTCATCGGAGAGGCTCGGCACAAAACCGTGAACCCTAAGGCTCGGGCTTCGAAACCATGAAAGGGTGGGGTTTAGGGTTTCGGCATTTTTGGTTTGGGGGGTTAAGATTTAAGGTTTTACGGTTTTTAGGATTTAGGGTTTGGGGCTTGGGGGTTTAAGTGTTGAGGGCTTGACGAGGATTTTGGGGGTTTACTGGTCTGAGGGCTTTTGCGGGGGTTTAGGGGTTGAGAGATTAAGAGCTCAGGCTTTGATGGTTGCTATAGAGGATACTGCGAGGCTTAATCTCTGAAGGAACTCAAAGTATTGGGTGAGGGATGTAGGGGTTCGGGTTCGGGATTTTGGGCCTTGAAACGAAAGCTCCCACACCCTAAACTCCAAACTGAAAACCCTCAGCCATAAATTTACCAAAACCCTAAACCGTAAGCCCCAAGCCCTAAGCTGCCATCATCCAGGGACGGCCTGAATCACCGGTGCGGGCTCAACGAGCTCCGCCTCCTTCGGCTTAGCCTCTGGCACCTCTGCCCGAAGCTTCAAGCTCCACATTGGGAAGCTTCGGGTTTAGGGTTCAGGGGAGTTTAGGGGAGTGCAGAGGTTTAGGGTTTAGGGCCCTAAACCCTAAACCCTGAACCCTAAACTCTAAACGCTTTCATCGCTTTTGTGGTGAAAGTGCAGATTTCAGGGTCGCAGCCGCGGCCAAGAACTCGGCCTCCCAAAGCCCTTGACGAAACCCAACTCCAATTCCTACAGGGCTCTAATTAGGGCATTATCATAAGGAGCTCTTCGGAGTATAGTATTACTGCATAGAATGCTTTTGGGAAACTTATATACTGTCCTCTGAGTAGAAGAAGATACCCGAGGAATAGCATTACTCGCCTTGTTTGCGTTGTTGCTAGCCATCTCTGGACCTGAACTTGGGTTTAAGAATTTTTTGCTGTGATCCCTTGCTTAAGGTTTTGGGGTTTAGGGGTTTGAGGCTTAGGGTTGTGGGGGGTGTAATGAATTTGAGGGTTTTTAGGGCTTGGAGTTATTGGCTTCAGGATTTTGGGGTTTAAGGTTGAAGGCAGCCCGACAGCCCCAGGGACCGGACCTCGAGAGCTTCTTCGACCTCTGCAGCTTCTGCGGGCTCGGCAGTCGCCTCCTGAGTGCACTGGGTTGAGGAAATCGACTGTCGGGTTTAGGCTTAGGGCTGAGGGGTTTAGGGTTGAGTGGCTGGGGGTTCTGTTGGGGTTCTGCTAAGGGGCGTACCTGCGGCTGTGGGTTTGGAGGGCTCAGTGAGGCTTTGCTGGCATATGGGGACGCCAACGGATGCCTCCGGCTAAGGCAGAGCCTGTACGTCCTTGGCCAGGTTTTAGTCTGTTGTAAGGAGCCGCGCCAAGCTGAGAATGCACAAAGCTCGGAGTACAAATGTGTGGCAGGAAAAGTCGGCAGTGCTGTCGTCAGGGCAGCAGTTACAGGATGTAGTTGAGCTATCAGGACGATAGCAGCCCTCGCTGCAGTTTTGTCAGGAATAAGAAGACGTCTATTTTTCGGTTGAGAAGGATCGTGCCCCCCAAATCGTAAAATGCCGATGATAAGCCCGAACTCCTGAACCCCATTATCCCAAACCCTAAAGCCTCAAACCCAAAAGCCCAAAATTCCCAGCCGCTAAATCCCAAACCCTAAGCCCTGCGTGAAACGGCCCTAATCTCACAAAGCCTACAGCTTCTCTTTCGAAGAGCTTGTCACCTTACTCTAAGGCCGCTGTGGCCTGAATAATTAGAACAAGGTTTTGGTGTATATTAGAGTATCGTAGTAGAATATGGGGACTAGTTCTTGAAACATCAAAACTGGATCGAAATTACCTAGAATAAGAATACGTGGCTTTACGATGTGCAACACTGTTCCTGCATATAGGAACCCTATCGAATAGCACTACTAATGCTGCAAGAGTTGTATGGCCAGTATCCACTGTAGTGCCTCAGAATTGCTGGTTACCTTATGGTTAGAGGGTCGAACAGAAGGAACTACAATGCACAATACAGCCTAAACCCTACATAAACTCTAAGGTACTCCCTGGTATTCCCACAGCCGCAGCCCCGTATCTCTTCGGAACAAGAGGGCTGAGTCCCGAAGATAAAATCCACAAGTAACCCTAGAACCCCAAAAACAATAACATGCTAAACCAACTTATGGAAATCCTACACCAGAAAAAACCGTAACCCCAAAGCCCTATAGTCCCTAAACCCAAAACCCCCGACAACCCCCAAAACCCTATACAGTCTCGATTTGCTCCAAAGGCTCTGCTCCCTTTGCTGCTGTGGGCTCCGGCTGCGCTGCCAAAGCCTCTGCAGCTGCCTTCGCAGTTTAGGATTTAAGGTTTAGGGTTTCAGGTTTAGGGTTTAAGGTGAGTGAGTGAGTGAGTGAGTGAGTGAGTGAGTGAGTGAGTGAGTGAGTGAGTGAGTGAGTGAGTGAGTGAGTGAGTGAGTGAGTGAGAGAGTGAGTGAGTGAGTGAGTGAGTGAGTGAGTGAGTGAG